AAAGTTTAACACTTGTGTGTGTGATCTCATCGGTATAGTCACAAAGAATAACTGGTTCAAAGCACTTTAACTACTTGAAATTCTGATAATACTTTATGAGATTTATACTATGAATAGATTCAAATCGAAAAGATATCTAATTTTTATGCATAAGTGTTGATTATTTGATTATGTGATAAACACTGATTTTAAACAAGTGGGGGATTGTTAGAATTTTAGTTGTTCAAAAAATAATAATAATAATAAATAATAATAATAATTTTGGGCTTAACCATGCGGCCGCATGAGGCCCTCCCGAAACTGGGAGGGCCACTTGCACTATTACCATGCGACCGCATGGTTATGCGGTCGCATGGTTATACAAAGTGACCATTGGGGATTCATTTTTTATCGTCTTTCTTTTGAATTTGGTGCCTTTTCAACATAATTTTGCACCATTTCGTGGGAACCCTTCAAAGCCTATAAATAGGTGTTTCAATTGCAATGAAAAACACTCTTGAGAAAATTAAGAAATCCACCACAAAATTATTCTCCCAAATTATCACATAATTAATCATATATCTATTTTCACTTGTTCTTTGTGAAAGATACACTTTGCTTTTGGTGTTCTTCACACAAAGACTTGTTTAATTCTACAAACTATTTGTCGGAACTCCTCAAAAGCATTGGAAAGGGGGCAAATAACGTTTGAGGATAGCGTTATCATTTTCATGTTCAAGCCTCTTATTAAATTTATATTCTTTTATTACCAATTTTTCTTCTCTTCATTACTTTAAATTTCCAACAAAACCTTATTCCTTCTTTCTTGATTTCATACTGCCAAGAAATGTCTTAGGAGTAGTCCTTTGAACAGAATCCCGAACAAAATTTAATTTGAGGTTTTTCTATTAATACTGACACATCAGAATTTTGGTATGCTCGAACACATTATCCCGAGGACTTTCCTCAGGATTCCTTTGCAATCCCACCTGTAGTGATCGAGCATATACTCCCCCGGGGGTATAATGCTTGAGCACTTCCAATCTTGCTGCTTCAACATTTTATGATCCATGTCCTCGAGCATGAGTAGTCCTCAGGTATATGTTCTCCTCTTAGTCTACGATTGTTATTATTGACCCTTTAGAATTCCTATGTAATTGGGATTCTAACTCAACCATATTACTTAATACTTGACTCCCGCAAGAATTCTATCCCAGACATAATTATGGCATTGGTCCAATTCCTCCACCTAATAGGACTCCGTTGGATAGAGATACCCAACTAGCTAAGTCCTACTAGAAGAAGGTCGCTTACTACTATAAATACACAATCATGGGTCATTGATCAGGTACGTTCTCATTATTTTCAGTTTATAGCCTCACGCACATAATTCCCTTTCTGACTTAAGCGTCGGAGGGGCGACGAGAACATACATCGTTGCCTTTGTTTCAGGTACCGGAAGACTATGATCGTGCTCATTCAAAATCCTCAAACTCGGGAAATCGACAGGTACGATTTTTGGTAACATTAAATACAAAATAACATTTTATCTCAACGTAAGGAAGATATAAGTTCCAAGTTTGGCAGGAAATCAGATTTGCATCCAGATTAAAACCATGTGACAATATCAGAAATTTCTCACATTTTACTTAGTAAAAAGTTCCAACTCTGGGAAAATAGGTGAAGATAATAGAAGTAAACTATTACACCTAATAGTTCATACATGTGTACCTCTACCTCACCCTCACACAGAGGTGGGAAATGGAGATTAATATAGATTTTCAAAAAAAACAAATGTGGTAATATTGTGAATCAATTAATCTTGAGGTTTTCTTGCTTATATTTGGGTTCGTTGACCGTGAAAAATCATTTCCCATCTAGGGATGAGTATCATTTTATTTTCACTTTTGTGAATGCAAGAGGTTAGAAGATTTTCTTAAACGAAACAAGATCAAAATGCACGCCGAAGAGAAACAAGGAAATGCCTGAGAACATTGTTCAGAATTGCAAATATTTAAAGTTCATTTACTTTTACTGATGGAAGTATAAAACGTGCATGCAAGTCAACGTATCTCAGTGAACTATTCCATTTGCTCACACAACTTAAGAGTCCTATTCCCTTTTGTGTTTTTCTGCACTCTAATGAACCATATCCGTGTTTCAGATTGTTAGCCTTTTGCTGATGTACGGATCCATAGATGTCAATGTCATCAATCAATAAAGCCATATTTACAGGAAAAATTTAACAAAATTTGTACAAATATTAACGAGACAAAATGTAAGTGGATTTTTTTCTTCTTTTTTACCATCTTTCAATGATGTCGCGTCATGTGTTATTTATAAGATTTTTATGTCAAAACATTCTATACGCATGATTCGTCATCGATAATCAACGTGAAACTGCCATGATATGTGTTTGGTTGAAAGAGGAAAGCTGTACATGATTTTTACAGGGAGGCATGTCATTTCCTTATTTGAAGTTGGGCAAAATAAAAAGAAAGGCCTGTTGGCCAAATAGATGAAGCAATGGAACTTAAAAGAACTCTCAAGTGATATTAAGCATGAAGTGCACTCCCAACTCATACAAAACAAGACACCCCAGAGACGACTTCCGGTATTGCCAAAGAACTGAAGAAAATTTATAGAGCAGCAGTCCAAAGTACCACTAATTCCGTGACAGTGGTTGCTGTTTTTTTTTTTTTTTTTTTTTTTTTTTTTTTTTTTTATAACTCTGTTCAAATGAATGGACAATAAAAATAACAAAATTGTACACAATCTTTTTGCTGGTTTTTTTTTTTTTTTTTTTTTTTTAAATTTTTT